ATATCGACACTGTCTATTATTTCTGATTGTCTTTCAGCAACTGTACTCCTCAATCATAGAGGTGTATGTGCATAAGGCTCCTTATAGGTTTCACTACTGAGATATGGAACATATTACTCTGATTTGCTCATGTTGAGTCCTGTATTGCCAAACCAGTGTGGTAGTGTAAGAAGAGATGACACATTTGTAGTAACACAATGTCATCCAGTTGGGATAATCTAACTTACATCAATACTCTCTCCCTCTATTTAAATGTTTGCTTTTAAAAGATTGTACTTTCTATGCCGCTCTTTGGGGAAAACCGAGAATGTGATGTATTTATTGCTGGTGAAATCCCAGGATGTGATGGCGTTATTGCTGCATCCAGAGAAGTAGGTGTGTCTTTACTTATGCAAAAGATTAAAGTAATCATTAGTTACGCAATATATTATAATGTAATGAAGTTATAAGGCACTCATGAAATCGTTTCTGTTTTTCATTCTGCAGATTAAAACCATTTTAAGTGGATTCATCATCAGAGGTTACTTGGGCAAGTGGACTTTATTGATCAAAACATTCACACTGGTACTTGCTGTGGCTTCAGGCCTGAGCTTGGGGAAGGAAGGTCCATTAGTGCATGTTGCTTGTTGCTGTGGAAATATATTTTCGTACCTCTTTCCGAAGTATAGCACAAATGAGGCAAAGAAAAGAGAGGTAAGTCAGCCTCGCATGCATATACACATTACAAAATGATTTTTAAAAAGGATCTGTATAGGATAGTCATCTCATAGGTTAAAGTACAAGTCCTGCATATTGTATGTGCTACTAAATGGTGTCATATCATTGCTGGGTTCTGGGTAGAACAGACTGAGAAGCTAAAATCTGTATTCCTGAATATTTTTCTCTCTTGTCTCATTGAGGGATGAAGGAAGTCCTAAACTTTTGAGTTATACTGCTGCCTACAAGATGATTTGACAGTGGTAAATAAAATAAAATAGGTTTTTAGCCTCACACCCCCTCTGCTCCAGTGGTCTAAGAATCCATGAGTTATCACGTCCTTTACAATGTATGGGACTTGAGGATCCTGAGGGGCATTCCTTTACTTGAGCGGAGGAGAAGACAGGGTTGGAGGGAGCGGTGTAGGGCCGGCCAGGATCGTGGTTCAGGTATAACTTTGCTATATTGGCTCCTAGGCAAAACAATCCAAGTCTGCCAAGCAGAATTGAACAATAATTTTTCTTTGTTTATGAGGATGGAGAGCTCTGAAGCAGGAGTTCAGTTCCCATTTCTTGTGGGAAAATTGTCATCTGACTTCTGTCCAGCCTGTCTCAAATATATATCTCAGTAGTGTCTTTTATTAAAAGACATAATGACTATTGCTCTTTCTGTTTTCTAGGTTCTTTCTGCAGCTTCAGCAGCTGGTGTATCTGTAGCGTTTGGTGCACCTATTGGCGGTGTCCTGTTTAGCTTGGAAGAGGTGAGGAACTCTACTTTTCAGCCAACATTATTCTTTGTTTTAAGGTTGTGTAAGAATTGCTAGATCACTGTATCCTATATAGAATGTGGGCTTATTTCACATAGGGTTCAGAACTTTGCAAACAGTGACCAATAAGCCTTGAAAACAAAGTGGAGAATGAAAGTCTTCACAAATAGTTAAACTGTCTGTGTTCTTACCTCGGTGGACTGCTTTAAGAACATTGCATGAAGCATAGTGTTGTACAAAAAGCCTTCTGACATTTGGCTCAGGTTTGTTAAGCAAATATTGGCCAGACTACTGAGCAGAGTGTCCATGAATGTATATGTCTGTATCTGCTGTACGGAACAGTTGTCCCTGCCAGACTGTTTTAACACTTTCTGTTGGAGGTTCTAAATGCATTAGGCATTTTGGCTGCATACAATGTAGTGTAAGCCATTGGAAGCCTCTGTAAGTACAGAAAATATTTATTTAAAAAAAAAAACAAGGAGTTTATAGTAATATTCCCTTTTGGTGCATTGGTGTTTCTTCATATATCTTTTCTGTTTCTTCAGGTCAGTTACTACTTCCCACTGAAGACATTATGGAGATCCTTCTTTGCAGCTTTGGTGGCTGCTTTCATCTTACGATCTATTAATCCATTTGGGAACAGTCGGCTTGTGCTATTCTATGTAGAGTACCACACTCCATGGTATCTATTTGAACTGATCCCATTCATCCTCCTGGGAGTGTTCGGCGGTCTGTGGGGAGCCTTTTTCATCCGTGCAAACATTGCCTGGTGTCGACGTCGAAAGACAACAAAGTTTGGAAAGTACCCAGTGTTGGAGGTTATTGTGGTGGCTGCCATTACAGCAGTCATTGCATTCCCAAACCCCTACACACGTTTTAACACTAGCCAACTGATTAAAGAGCTCTTCACAGATTGCGGGCCACTGGAATCCTCTACTCTTTGTGATTATAAAAACGATATGAATGCTAGCAAGATCGTGGATGATATTCCAGACCGGCCTGCTGGTAATGGCGTTTACTCCGCCATGTGGCAACTGTGCTTGGCACTTGTGTTCAAAATCATCATGACCGTCTTCACATTTGGCATTAAGGTAACAAACTTCCAAGGTACTAGTTACCCTCACATTTTCCTTGACTGTTCCATATTCTAAAGCCAGTACAGATAAGAGACCTCTTCTTACCTAGACTGCCAGTTTATGTGAGGAAATGATTGTTCATATTATTTGTTAGATATGTTATAGCGAACATGTTGCCATACCATT